ATGTAAATATCTGATATGCAGGATGGTCTTAGGTGACCCCTGTGAAAGGGTCATTCGACCGCCAAAGGGGTCGCGACCCACAGGTTGAGAACCGCTGGGTTAAGGCCACATTATTGTTAACGGGTGATATTATTCCATGGCACGCACATGTCGGAATTTATCTAAATAAATTGTTGTACTTGTGGGATGTTTCCAGTTTTTCACTTTTATGGACCCAGTGTGATAAACATACAGTCACCTTTGTGCCAGGTGGATGTCATATTCTTTTTTTTTTCAAATATATTTTATTGATTTTTTACAGAGAAGAAGGGAGAGGGATAGAGAGTTAGAAACATCGATGAGAGAGAAACATCGATCAGCTGCCTCCTGCACACCCCCTACTGGGGATGTGCCCGCAACTAAGGTACATGCCCTTGACCGGAGTCGAACCTGGGACCCTTGAGTCCGCAGGCCGACGCTCTGTCCACTGAGCCAAACCGGTTAGGGCTGGATGTCATATTCTAACCATCGTTTTACAGATGAGGAGACTGAGGCACAGAAAACTAAACTGTGGTGTCACCAAGCCAGAATTCATAGCCAGTTCCAGTTGGGCGTTCCTTCAGCATCTTTGTTTTTTCTTTCCATTACAGTGACCGTCCTCTCTTCCTCCCCATTATCTTTTTTTTTTTTTTAATTGACTTCAGAGAGGAAGGGGGAGAGAGAGAGATAGAAACATCAATGATGAGAGAGAATCATGGATCGGCTGCCTCCTGCACGCCCCTTACTGGGGATCGAGCCCGCAACCCCGGGCATGTGCCCTTGACCGGAATCGAACCCGGGACCCTTCAGTCCGCAGGCTGACGCTCTATCCACTGAGCCAAACCAGCGAGGGCCTCATTGTCTTTTTCTCTTACAGGTGGCCGCCCTGGGACAACCTGTCTGGGCAGGTGACCCACTTCCTTCTCTGACATCTTTTTAACTTCTCTAATGTCCACTAACGCCCTGGGATTCAGAGGAATAAAGGCAGGTAATAGGACATTAATGCATGAGGGCGTATTGCATACATTGTGAACCTGGTGCAGACGTTAGGCCTAAAGTCACGGTCAGGCACCACCGAGGTTTAGCCAAATCCCCTGGCCAGCTCAAACCCAGGAAGGGGCCCCCCCGATTCATACTAGAGAGAAAGAAATGGGCTGTTCTGACTAGAAGCAATCTACGGAGGTCTCCCTGGCATCTCAGAAGCCCCGAAGTTGTCCCCCTCGCCCTCCCCCACCCCCAGAGCTGAAATGGGAAGGAAGGTTTGCTATTATAAGGTTTATTAATCCTCAGGATTTCCCCAGGGGGGCGGGGGTGAGCATGCATTCATGCCACAGACTTTCCAGGATGTTCATATCCATCTCTGGAAATCCGGGGAATCTTGAAAGCTGAGAATAGGGATGAGACATAGCTCTTCAGCGTCTCAATTGATGTGTTCACCCGAGTAACTGCTGGGAGATTAGCAGGTGATTATTAAGATCTGTTTCTCTCATTGACAGACCAGACAGACATTTTAAGAATCACCAGTGGCTCCTGCAATATTTCATGTCCCATGTTTCGTACTAAATCTCCCAACTGGAATCGGCCAATGGAAAGGGCAGGACCCCAGGGTTGAACTAAGAGGGGCTGCAGAAAGCAGATATTTCACAGGTAGCTTTCCCTCTCTAGAAACATTCACATTCATCTTATTTTTTTATTAATTTTTAAAAAAATATATTTTATTGCTTTTTTACAGAGAGGAAGGGAGAGGGATAGGGAGTTAGAAACATGGATGAGAGAGAAACATCAATCAGCTGCCTCCTGCACACTCCCTACTGGGAATGTGCCCACAACCAAGGTACATGCCCTTGACTGGAATCGAACCCAGGACCCTTCAGTCCGAAGGCTGACACTCTATCCACTGAGCCAAACCAGTCAGGGCTATTAATTAAGTATGTCCTGTTTCATACTTGAGTGGATGTTTGTGATCATTTTCCAAAAATCTTAAAATTTCAGTGTTAGAACAAATTTTAGAGGTCATCTAGTCCAACCCTGTTGTTTTTTTAAAATATATTTTTATTGATTTCAGAGAGGAAAGGAGAGGGAGAGAGGTAGAAACATCAATGATGAGAGAAAATCATTGATGGGCTGCCTCCTGCACGCCCCCTACTGGGGATCAAGCCCACAACCCAGACATGGACCCTGACCAGGAATGGAACCCCGACCACCCGGTTCATATGTTGATGCTCAACCACAGCCACACCAGCCAGGCCACATTATAATAAAAATATATTAAAAAGATAATATACTCATTATAGAAATTTGGCAAATATGCTAGGAAAGAAAGAAGAAAATAAAAATCACTTATAATTAAAAAAAACAGAAATAACTTTTAACTTGTTTGTATTTCCTTCTAAGTGTTTTATATATTTTTTTCAGGATAAATATACAAACATATACATAATTGTACAAAAACAGCCCTGACCACCCATGTGGCCCTGTTGAGGATTGTTCCATGCACCAAAAGTCGTAGGTTTGATTCCCACCCACAGTGGGCTCGATCCCCATAGGGCAGTGGTCGGCAAACTGCGGCTCTCGAGCCACATGCGGCTCTTTGGCCCCTTGAGTGGGGCTCTTCCACAAAATACCACTTGCGGGCGCGCACGTACAGTGCGCTTGAAACTTCGTGGCCCATGCACAGAAGTCGGTATTTTGTGGAAGAGCCACACTCAAGGGGCCAAAGAGCCCCATGTG